TCCACTCTCCAGAAACAGCTTCTGGATCATTTTGGAAGGGAGCCCCATCCAGGAACTAGGTCCCCAGAAGAACCATGATGACTATTCAGTGCAGTTTCTGTGGCTTGGGAGACACAAAATATTCACAGCTTGATCCCAGATTAGGAAGCCCATAAAAACCCTCATGCTAGTTGAGTGATCTTCTTCCAGAGTACCTGGTACCCTAAAATATATGAAATTTTTGACCGTCTACTTAAAGGACAATAAGCTCCAGATTCTTATGCACAGGAAGACACAAAAAATATGTAAGAATAAAGCAGAGGAGCAGGAACAATGGTGATCTGTGGCAGGCATTTCATAAGAGGGTAAGTAGAATAGGGAGCATCAGGGAGGAGGGGGAAGGCTGGAACAGCAGTTGTAGGGAAAACAAAGTCTAGCCTATAGCTCAGAACCGATTACTTAACAGTTATTTCTTAAATGTGCTAAGTCCCTGTATAACTTACCTCATGTAATCTTTGTAGTTGTTAGGATTCCCACCTCCTAATTAAGGCTAAACTAAGGTTGAACACTTGGCACTTAGTAAGTACTCTATACTACAGCCATTTTTCTGATCAACAAATGAATCAGCCCAATTGAATGTACTTTTAGAAGAACGACTTTGACATTCCAAACAGACATGGAAAGGGCACCTGGGTGGCTCAGCTGGTTTAAGTGTCTGCCTTTGGCTCAGGTCATGATCCCAGAGACCCCGGGTAAAGCCCCACGTTGGGCTCCCTGCTCAGTGGGGAGCCTGCTTCTCCCTCTAACTCTACCCTCTTCTCATGCTCTCACTCTCTCTCTCAAATAAATAAAATCTTAAAAAGAAATACAACAGACATGGCATAATAAAGACATATAAATGCTTACAAGAAAAAAAATCAGGTAGGCAAATCTGTATCTTACTTATCAACTCTGGATCACACTAGCCCAGGAACAAAATTATAAAAGGATAAAAGAACCATGTGTGAATTTAAGTTTTAAAAGGTTTTTAACTTGAGGGGCATCTGGGCAACTCAGTCAGTTAAACAGCCAGCTCTTGATTTCAGCTCAGGGTCCTGGGATTGAGCCCCATGTCAGGCTCTGTGCTCAGGAGGGAGTCTGCTTGAGATTCTCTCTCCCCACCCTAACCAATAAATAAATCTTTAAAAAAAAAAAAGTTTTTAAGTTGGAAAGTCCATGTGTTTGGTAAAGCTGAGTCCTCTGAGAGGTGAAAACTAGTATTTCCAAGGCATTTTCACATATATAATTTTTTTTAACAACAACCTATAAGGTAGGTATGCCCATCACATCCAAGAAAAATTAAGCAACTGAAAAAAGTTAAGCAACTGACTCAAGGCTGTGAAATGCCAGCATTAGGAATTGACCTAGTCCCTCCATTTCAAATTACTTCTTTTTCCATCATTTATGTTGGGTTTACTGAAGATCAAGTTCTAAAAAAAAAAAGTAAAAATTTTCTTTAAAATGAAGCCCTAACTAAAAAGAAATATCTAAATTCAAATAGTGGTAGCCTTAAGCCCTTAAGAAACTCAAGATGAGAAAATCAACATCTAATGGACCACAGGAAACTAGACAAGCAAAGGCATGTTGCCTTGCCTGGTGTGAGATCCAGACCAGCACAAAAATCAGTGAGGGAAACAGAAAACTAGTTCTAAGAGGTTCTGTGAACAGACACACAGGGATGCACCTCGATAATTAAAAAATGGAAGAGAAGCAAAACAATACAAAAGAAAATACAGCCAGGTGCTACAAGACATGCAACATGAGTGCCACCAACTCAGAATGCACTCAAGGTACATTTATAGGAAAGCAAGTTGTGTAATGTATCTCCAGTGTCATCAGCATCCAACCTATGCAGTAATAGACAAGTCTGAGTCAGCTACTACCATTCAAACTTCATCACCATCTGCTCAAATGTTAAAATACTCAGTAGTAGTGACTTCAGTAATACTCGTCATTAGCAATGATAATCAATACTTCAGTAATTATATTAATGATTACCTTCATGATTAAGGGATAAATATACCTCATTCTATTATAAATAGTAAAAGGTAAGCAGTATTTACAATCTATCACAAAAAATTAAAAACATTTCCAAATTGCAGTCTTAAATCATTCCAAAGGTCTATTTCTCAGCGTGTTTACAAAGACAAAAAAAAAAAAAAAAAAGCCCACACATTAAGCAATTTGCTTTAGGGGAAGAAAAAAAAAGTATCTCAATGCATTATCCAGAAATCCTAATGCAGTGATGACATATATCTATATTACAGCCCCATTTCATTCAGGGAAAGCACCTGCTCACAGTCTTACTTCCCATCACAACAGATGAACATTCAGACGCAGAAGGCTACAAGGAGAAGGCACTTCTACGCAGGACAATCTTTAGGAAAAATCAACCAGAAAGGTGCACTCCTCAATGGTCTAAATTGCTACATGGTCTACACAAGAATTGCACTGAGAAGTTTAAAAAGAAAAATAAAGTAATAAATATTTTAACTATTAATAAAGCCTTTCAATAAGCAATTTCTTTCTACTTCAATGTGACTTTTCGGCTGATAAAATTCTAATAGGCTGCCCAAATTTGACAAGTTGTAACAACATTAACACAAAAGTCAAAGCACTTGTGCGTATCAGACCAAAACCTAAGGCTTAGGGGACTTCACCAAGATTAAAGAAAGTACCAACTAGAAAAAAGAGAACAACAATTTGTACGGGGTTACAACGGTGAGAGAGGAACTACCGGAATTTTCCATCATGAAACAGCAGAGAAATTTCTATAAACCATCTTGGTGCTAACAAACGCAAAGTAATAAAATTCTGCTCCTTAAAGTGTAATTCGTTACTCTCTGTGCTGCCACCCGAGCAAACACAAATACGCGCTTCCCTCTTAGCCCTAACACCTTACGCTATGAGGGAGGGAGAGGGGAAGTGGCCCCGTAGGGCCACAGCTGCAGAGGCAGAGAGACCCCAGGCTACGGACGACAGCCACAACTAAGCAGAGACCGCACGCGGCCAGTTTCGGTCACAGCGCCGTCACCATGACACAAGCACTGCCCATGGAGTGCTGAGCGAGACCAAAGCCTCCAGAAGGTGCGCTCAAACGCAGGAGACGGACGGGCACCCACCCCAACAGGCACATGCGCGAGAACATGAGGCTCTCTGCGGACAAGCAAGCACTGCGCGAGCCGGGGACCGCCGGCGCTGGGGGGCGACGCTGCACCTCAGCTAGGGCGGTGAGGACGTTTTTCCGAGGGACACCACCTCTGAGGGAGAACTGAACAATGAGGAGACACCACCACAAGATCTGAGGCAGACAGCATTCAAGGAAGAGGTAAGAGCGAACTCCAAGACTCCGAGACGAGAGCTAGGTATTAATGCGGGAAGTGGGAGGGCAAGTGTGGCTGGGGAGGCCTTGCTGGAAGGGGTCCGAACCGGCGAAGGGGGCTGGGTCACACATGGCCTGCGGCGGGGGGCAAAAAGAAGTTTGGTTTTGTCCTACTTGCATTGAGATGTCACTAGTTTTTAAGCAGGAGAGTACCATGACTTAGTTTATGCTTTAGACAAGATACAAGCTGATAAACAGAGGAAGGACGTCAGGAAGGACAAGGGGGAAGAGGGAGATCAGCACTGGGGGAGAGTCCCAGGGCAAAATGTGGTGCTGGAGGAGGGTTATGACAGGGGAAGAGGTGAGAAGGAGTGGTTTAGAAGTGATCATCTAACATACAGAACTAGGTGGGGGTGTGAAGAACACAGGGGAATGAAGAGTAATTCACAGCTTAGGGGGCTCTGGAGCACACACCTTGGTTCCATTTATGAGATGGGGAACCTAGAACCCCATCTTGTGCTTATGAAGATGCCCTTCAGATATCCAAGTGGAGATGCCAGGCAGACAGCTGGACCAAGAATCTGGCGCTCATGAGAGAGATGAGGGCAGGAGACACCACCTTATAGGTGTGTTTATACTCAAGGGACTAGGAGCTCACTTTTTAAAAAAAGGTCTAGAGGGAAAAAAGAGCCAAGGACAAAGTGCGGAACCATGCCAACCCTTGTAGATTAAGCAGAGGAGGAGGTTCCTCTAAAACCATCGGGAGAAGAGCAGCCAGTGAGGGAGAAGAAACCCAGGAGTGTGTAGGGTTTCAGTAAACACAAGATGAAGGGTGGGTGTGTAAGGGTGGGCAAACCAGTAGAGAAGGTGAGAGAACAGGGGAGGAGAGGTGTCATGACACCACCATCTCAGGGAATGGGAACAAAATGGTCCAGCAGAGCTGCAGTGAGCCAGTGAGCCTGGTTTTGTTGACGGTCTGCAGAATACTCAACTGTAGGTTCCATGACTGCATTTTACATCGTCAGGTCTGTGTGAACGACTGCCAACTGGCAGAGAGAGAGAGACAAGGGATTTGCTGGAGTTCAGTGCACCTACTCGAAGCTGGATTGGGAGGGAAGCCAGACCATGAGAGGGATGAAAGATTATAAAACAGAGGCAAAGCCGGAGGATTAGGGATTTCCAAGCCGAAATGGCGGAATACATAAGTGGGAAGGTAGGAAGTGGTGGTCAAATAAAGGAATATTTGAAACTGAAATTCTGGAGATGTGGGCAGTTATTGGTGTGGACCAGGCCTAGGACAGCAGTTCTTAAACACGTTGGTCTCAGTCACTTAGCAAAGTGACCTCAATAACAATCACGCAATGAGTATGGTGAAGTCAAAATGCCCAATTCTTATTCACCACCCTAAACTGAAACCAATTTCAATTCAAGATATCCCAAAGGCCTCATAATGCTGAATGCAGAGTAGCCATTCTACATAAAAGGTATCAACAGCATAATCACCAGTGGACCCATTCACACTTCCAGAACTATAGAGATAAGGTTATTAATGTAAAAACAACTCCATCAAAAGTTCTATGGCCTGCCCTGTCTTCAAAGTGACCATCTCAAAACAGAGCTGGATAAGAAATTCTTTAACCGTATTTTCTTCTTTCACAACTCAAACAAGTATGTGAAGAAAGCCCATAAAGGGCCCACAGCTTGGATGAAGTAATCATAATCAAGGCAAGAGAAGGGAGCAGTGAGGTATCTTTCAGAACATTCTAGTAATAGAAGAAAAGGGAGTTTGAAAATCTTCTGAAAATTAATAGCTAATGGCATGTGACATTTTAGCTCAAGGGTGGGAAGCAATAATCAGAAGAAAACCACAGCAAATACTTTCTAATCTTGGACAATGAAAACAAACTTCTACAGCTTCTCAACAAAGGTTACATGGTTTCTGAAATCTGAGAAACACGAAAATTAATCTCATTCCCAGATATTCATCCTTATTAATAGCACTAAACACCTTATACTGACAAAATATTTCAAAGTTACTCAAATACTTCTTTATTCCTATCTAATCCTCAAATGAGTGATCCTGTGAAGTAGACCAGGTGGATATCAGGGGTCTCAGTTTACAAATGAAGAAACTGAGGCATTACAAGCTAAATGACTCGTCTAAGGTCACATGCCCAATTAGTGGGGGAACAGAGCTTTTCCATCAACCCACACAGATTAATTATTACTTATAATGATTAATGCAACTGCAAGGATTCTGACTGCCCCAGAAAGTTTCCACATCACATGCCGACAATATACGTAAAGCTTTCCAAGAGAGAAGGCCAATTCTAGGTGTACCCAAATCATGTGAAAAAACAACCCAAAAGATCTGTGTTCCTACTCAGTAAGATCTAAGGGAATGTAATTTGAAATCCTGCTACCCCCTTGTAGTACTTAAGCTTCCCATGTGGATAGTGCTGTTCAATATGCTACACTACCAGACACTGTACCTTTTAATGACTGTTAGGATAAAAAGTGAACTGTTTAATTAGAAACACAGAGCTAAGGTTACATAGTCACTGGAGATGTTATTCATCAACTTCAGGGACAAGCACCTTGAAGGTCACTGCCATGGGTGGGCAAGGGCAGACCTAGAATTCCCAACAAGTTTGAAGCCACTGCATTTTTTTTTTTAAAGATTTTATTTATTTTTTGACAGAGAGAGAGACAGCGAGAGAGGGAACACAAGCAGGGGGAGTGGGAGAGGGAGAAGCAGGCTCCCCGCTGAGCAGGGAGCCCAATGCGGGGCTCGATCCCAGGACCCTGGGATCACGACCTGAGTCGAAGGCAGACGCTTAACAACCGAGCCACCCAAGTGCCCCGAAGCCACTGCATTTTTAAGATCAAGGCGGGTCAAAGTAACAGTTAGGTGCTGAACTGAAGTTTTGCAGGCAAGATGAAACTGTGGTAGGTTTGGAAGGAAGGCAAGAATAGACTGAGGCAGAGCCATCACCATGGAGCTCAGGAAACTCGAGAATTTCAAGGAGTCCAACTTCCTCTCTCTCTCTCTGGGAATGAAGCAATCTGGACTAGGGTACAGACCGAATCTGGCCCTGGTCTCTCCTCTAACAGCTCACGAGATTATTTCAGCAGAGACCTAAGATAAAATGATGAGGCAACATGAGATCAGATAGCCTGAAGAAAAGAATACTAAGTAACAATTAATGGTCTTCACGAATATGAAGCATTTTTAAGAAGATCAAAGTAACCAACTGTCTTCATTTTCACTAAAGCTTAAATTGCAAAAAAAGAAACTGTTTATAAGCAGAGCAGTTACTGGCTCTTAAGACACTGTTACTAAGAGACTCTCAGATCCTCCTTTCAAAATTTTTTTCTGGTGATAGGATAAATGTTGAAATGCCTGAAAAGCCTGGAAGTTCTTTTGTGGTTTCACTCTGATGAAGAAAGGTTAGGGACATAAATTTAAATGTAGACCTTTTAAGCCAAATTTTACAAAATGTTCCTCTTCAGTTAACTCCATCCCCAGTTCCCACACACCAGAATGACTGCCATGGGCAGGTCTTTACTGGATCTGTACTACTAGCCGTGGTGGCCAGTCTTGGTCCAAAAAAGATTGTTGCCCACCTCTCCCGTCCCCTAGTAAGAGCCCAGAATGTCACCCTAGTTCTTAGACCAAGAAATCACTGCCCTGAATGGGAATCATTCTTCCATCAGGTAGTCTATTATAATAAAGCAATCTGCTTTTCTCTCTGTCTCATTCCAGAAGCACTAGGAATGATTCTGCAGTATTTACCAACCATTTAAGAGAGAATGTGGGAAGACTGGTACTTTTCTTGTCTGAGGGAAAAGAATAAAGATATCAAGATTCAGCAACCCTTTTTCATCTTTACCCTCTCACCAGAGCACAGGGTCCCGGCCATCCCTGCAGGTTCAACCACTGAAGAATTCAAGTCTACAAAATGGTTAGAGATTAGCCTGGCCATTAAGGCTCAGCTGACCCAAACTTGCTCTGAAGCCATGAACAGAACTGCTTCCAGAGAGTGCTTCAGGAGGTATGATGGCCAGAACATTCCTAAGGTTACATCATACCTATTTGAGTAAGTGTGTCAAAGTTGCAGGCACCCTTACCAATGAGCCTAGTGTCACTGCTAATATAGAGCGGTCTGGAAAAATAAGTCAACGTCTTTGGTCTACTTGGCAGAGATGTGAGTCAAGGCAAAGGCACCTGAACCTTGTGGGAACTTTGCTTAAAAGTAAATATGGAGCCAGCATGACCGTAGGAGGATTCTGAGTCACACTGCATTAATGTCCAAAGCAAGCCAAAGGTTTACCCAACAGTGGAAAAATTTGACAATTCTCATGGATATAAGACTTGGCTATAAAGAGAGTTAGACAACTTATGCAATAGACTCAACAAGGTAATGTTCTGTGCTATACATATGCACCTGGAAAACTGATACATCACCTTCAATTAGGACAGAAAATATCAACTGAATTTATGATGAATGTCTTTTTTAAAGTCAAGTTTATTCTTAAAAAAAAAAAACAGCTGCCAGAAAACAAGTTATGAAACCAAACAACTTCAGATAGGTAACTGAAGTCAGGATTTCTACCAATCCACTAAAACCACTTTTTTTTTTAATAGGACATTCTTTGCACCCTTGACTTTAAGCCTTATAAATGGCAACCAATTTAAAACCACTAAAAAGGTTAGCTAAATAAGTGTAAAATATGATGGCTATATTTTACATTTTAAATTTTGTATAAATGCTTTCCATAGAAGGTGCACAATTACATATTTGGCACCACCAGAAACATATGTGTTATCCTATCTGCCCATAGGGCTCACAAGCTCCTACAAGGCTGTGGGGAGGGTGGAGAGGCAGTTTGAAATGGAGTAGGGAGAAACTGGAACTAAGTAATTTTTTTAAAAAAGCAGAATATTGTAGGGATAGGAGTGTGGAAGAAACATAGGCTCAGAGCTGACTGCAGGCTGATGAGGAAGCAATCCGACTTGGGGCATACAGCTGCAATTCTGATACTGTGAACTAAGCTGTTCTTAAGTTCCACTCTGGCATCAGAGGTAAGAGAGGAAACTCCTATCCTCGTGAGGAACAGCTGAGAAATATTAACATGAGGGACGCCTGGGTGGCTCAGTCGGTTAAGCGGCTGCCTTCAGCTCAGATCATGATCCCAGGGGCCTGGGATCGAGTCCCACATCGGGCTCCCTGCTCAGCAGGGAGCCTGCTTCTCCCTCTGCCTGCTGCTCCTCCTGCTTGTGCTCTCTGTCTCTCTCTCTCTCTCTCACAAATAAAGAAAATCTTTAAAAAATATATATCAACGTGAGGGGAGGAGCAAGATGGCGGAGGAGTAGGAGACCTAAATTTCGTCTGATCCCAGGAATTCAGCTAGATAGGGATCAAACCATTCTGAACACCTACGAACTCAACAAGAGATCAAAGAAAAGAATAGTAACAACTCTCTGAACAGAAAAGCGACCACTTTCTGGAAGGTAGGACGTGTGTGTGGAGAAGTGAATCCGCAGCGATATTCGGGAGGATAGACGGCAGGGGAGGGGGACTCCATCAGCCGCTACCGGCTCTGCTGAGGGACATCGCTCTAGTGGCTAAGCGGGGGGTGGAACCCTTGCTGGGACAATGTGGTCTCAGGACCCTCGGGGTCACAGAAAGACTGGGGGTGCCTGAGTGCGGCAGAGCTCCCAGGTATCAGAGCGGGGAAGCCAGCTGCAGAGACGGAGCCGAGGCACGGGCTCTCAGCTCGGGATTGCCATAAAGCGTGATCCGTGGCTCAGTCGGGCCACTGCTCCTCCAGCAGGGACCCAAAAAGCGGCAGATCCGGGGAGACTCCCCTTCCTCCCCCTGGAGGAGCGGCGCGGGAGCGCACCACAGGGATCTGCTGGGTTTGGAGACTCCACACTGAGTCGGGTGCCAGAGATAGAAAAGCTTGGTCACTGGCCAGGTGAGCACAGAGTGTGGCCAGAGCCGGGGGAGCCGGGAGTGATTGACTGCTTTTCTCTAGGGCTCACTGAAGAGCAGGGCCCTGAGTTCTCAGCTCCTCCAGAGCAGAGATTGGGAGGCTGCCGTTTCACTGTCGTCCTCCAAAGCTGTGCGGAAAGCTTGCAGGGAACAAAAGCTCCTGAGAGCAAACCCGAGCAGATTACTTAGCCCGGACCGGGCAAGGGCGGGGCAATTCCGCCTCCAGCAAAGCCATTTGGGAACCACAGCAACAGGCCCCTCCCCCAGAAGATCAGCAAGAGCAGCCAGCCAAGACCAAGTTTACCGATCAATGAGAACCGCACAACTCCAGCGCTAGGGGAATACTGCACATAGAATCCATGGCTTTTTCCCCATGATTCTTTAGTCTTTCAAAGTTAATTTTTTTAATTTTTTTTTCTTTTTTTTAAATTTCTCTTTTCCCTTTTTCAACAAACATCTTATCAATCCCTTTTTTAAAAAAATCTTCTTTATTTTTCATTTTTAGAGTCACATTCTATCCCTTCCTAGTACTTAACCTTATTTTTGGTATATATACATAAGTTGTTCTCTTTAAAATTTTGGGATACAGTTTCTTCTAACAGACCAAAATATACCCTAAATCTCTGATGTATGGCTTTATTCTAGTCTCCAGCCTGATCAAATTCTCTCCCTTTTTTTTAAATCCTCTTCTTTCTTTTTTCAAACAACTTCTTCTCAATTCCTTTTATAAAATCTTTTATAATTTTCATCTTTACAGTCATATTCCATCCCTTCATCATATTTACCCTTATATTTGTACATATATAAGTTTTTCTTTCTTTAAAATTTTGGGAGGCACATTCTTCTAAATACGCCCAAAATCTAGTGTGTGGCACTGATCTATGCACCAGCCTGATCATATTTGATCACATTCTGGGTTTTTTTGTTTTGTTTTTTTTCTTTCCCTGTCTTTTCCCCGGTTTCAGGTCTCTTCTGATTTGTTTAGTGTATATTTTTCTGGAGTCGCTGTTACCCTGTTAGCATTTTGTTCTCTCATTCATCTATTCTCATCTGGACAAAATGACAAGATGGGAAAAAATCACCTCAAAAAAAAGAACAAGAGGCAGTACGGACTGCCAGGGACCTAATCAATACAGACATTAGTAAGATGTCAGAACTAGAGTTCAGAATGACGATTTTAAAGATACTAGCTGGGCCTGGAAAAAGCATGGAAGGTATTAGAAAAACCCTTTCTAGAGAAATAAAAGAACTAAAATCTAACCAAGTCGAAGTCAAAAAGGCTATTAATGAGGTGCAACCAAAAATGGAGGCTCTAACTGCTAGGATAAATGAGACAGAAGAGAGAATTAGTGATAGAGAAGACCAAATGATGGAAAATAAAGAGCGGAGAAAAAGAGAGATAAACAACTACTGGATCACGAGGGCAGAATTCGAGAGATAAGTGATACCAAAAAATGAAACAATATTAGAATAATTGGGATCCCAGAAGAAGAGAGAGAGGGGCAGAAGGTATATTGGAGAAAATTATAGCAGAGAACTTCTCTAATTTGGGGAAAGAACCAGGCATCAAAATCCAGGAGGCACAGAGAACCCCCCTCAAAATCAATAAAAATAGGTCAACACCCTGACATCTACTAGTAAAACTTACGAGTCTCAGAGACAAAGAGAAAATCCTGAAAGCAGCTCGGGAGAAGAGGTCTGTAACCTGCAATGGTAGAAACATTAGATTGACAACAGACCTATCCACAGAGACCTGGCAGGCCAGAAAGGACTGGCATGATATATTCAGAGCACTAAATGAGAGAAATATGCAGCCCAGAATACTTTATCCAGCCAGGTGGTCATTGAAAATAGAAGCAGAGACAAAAAGCTTCCAGGACAAACAAAAATTAAAGGAATTTGCAAACACGAAACCAGCCCTACAAGAAATAATGAAAGGGGTCCTCTAAGCAAAGAGACAGCCTAAAAGTAACATAGACCAGAAAGGAACACAGACAATATACAGTAACAGTCACCTTACAGGCAATACAATGGCACCAAATTCATTATCTTTCAATAGTTACCCTGAATGTAAATGGGCTAAATGCCCCAATCAAAAGACACAGGCTATCAGACTGGATAAAAAACAAGACCCATCGATATGCTGTCTGCAAGAGACTCATTTCAGACCCAAAGACACTTCTAGATTGAAAGTGAGGGGGTGGAAAACCATTTACCACACTAATGCACACCAAAAGAAAGCTGGGGTGGCAATCCTTATATCAGACAAATTAGATTTTAAACCAAAGACTGTAATAAGAGATGAGGAAGGACACTATATCCTACTTAAAGGGTCTATCCAACAAAAAGATCTAACAATTGTAAATATCAATGCCCCTAACATGGGAGCAGCCAATTATACAAGCCAATTAATAACAAAAGCAAAGAAACACATTGACTACAATATAATAATAGTGGGGGACTTTAACACCCCCTCACTGAAATGGACAGATCATCTAAGCAAAAGATCAACAAGGAAATAAAAACTTTAAATGACACACTGGACCAAATGGACTTCACACATATATTCAGAACATTCCATCCCAAAACAACAGAATACATATTCTCTCTATTGCCCATGGAACATTCTCCAGAATAGATCATATCCTAGGTCACGAATCAGGTCTCAAACGGTACCAAAAGATTGGGATCATTCCCTGAATATTTTCAGACCACAATGCTTTGAAACTAGAACTCAATCATAAGAGGAAAGTCAGAGAGAACTCAAATACATGGATCCTAAAGAGCATCCTACTAAGGAAATGAATGGGTCAACCAGGAAGTTAAAGAAGAATTTTAAAAATTCATGGAAACAAATGAAAAGGAAAACACAACTGTTCAAAATCTTTGGGATGCAGCAAAGGCGGTCCTAAGAGGAAAGTATATAGCAATACAAGCCTTTCTCAAGAAACAAGAAAGGTCTCAAATACACAACCTAACCCTACACCTGAAGGAGCTGGAGAAAGATCAGCAAATAAAGCCTAAACCCAGCAGGAGAAGAGAAATAATAAAGATCAGAGCAGAAATCAGTGAAATAGAAACCAAAAGAAGAGTAGAACAGATCAACAAAACTAGGAGCTGGTTCTTCGAAAGAATTAATATTGATAAACCCCTGGCCAGACTTATCAAAACGAAAAGAGAAAGGACCCAAATAAATAAAATCATGAATGAAAGAGGAGAGATCACAACCAACACCAAAGAAACACAAACAATTATAAGAATATATTATGAGCAACTCTATGCCAGCAATTTAGATAATCTGGAAGAAATGGAGGCATTCCTAGAGATGTATCAACTACCAACACTGAACCAGGAAGAAATAGAAAACCTGAACAGACCTATAACCACTAAGGAAATTGAAGCAGTCATCAAAAATCTCCCAACAAACAAAAGCCCAGGGCCAAATGGCTTCCCAGGGGAATTCTACCTAACATTTAAAGAAAAATTAATACCTATTCTTCTGAAATTGTTCTAAAAAATAGAAATGGAAGGAAAACTTCCAAACTCGATTTATGAGGCCACCATTACCTTGATCCCAAAACCAGACACAGACCCCATCAAAAAGGAGAATTACAGACTAATATCCTTGATGAACATGGATGCAAAAATTCTCACCAAAATACTAGCCAATAGGATTCAACAGTACATTAAAAGGATTATTCACCACGACCAAGTGGGATTTATCCCTGGGCTGCAAGGTTGGTTCAACATCCACAAATCAATCAATGTGATACAATACCTTAATAAAAGAAAGAACAAGAACCATATGATCGTCTCAATAGATGCAGAAAAAGCATTTGACAAAGTAAGCATCCTTTCCTGATCAAAACTCTTCAGAGTGTAGGGATAGAGGGTACATACCTCAATATCATAAAAACCATCAATGAAAAACCCACAGCGAATATCATTCTCAATGGGGAAAAACAGAGCTTTCTCCCTAAGGTCAGGAACACGGCAGGGATGTCCACTATCACCACTGCTATTCAACATAGTATTAGAAGTCCTAGCCACAGCAATCAGACAACAAAAAGAAATAAAAGGCATCCAGATCGGCAAAGAAGTCAAACTCTCACTCTTTGCAGATGATATGATACTTCATGTGGAAAACCCCAAAGACTCCACCCCAAAACTGCTAGAACTCATACAGGAATTCAGTCAAGTGGCAGGATATAAAATCAATGCACAGAAATCAGTGGCATTCCTATACACCAACAACAAGACAGAAGAAAGAGAAATTAAGGAGTCGATCCCATTTCATCACTGCACCCAAAACCATAAGATACCTAGGAATAAATCTAACCAAAGAGGCAAAGAATCTGTACTCAGAAAACTATAAAATACTCATGAAAGAAATTGAGGAAGACACAAAGAAATGGAAAAACGTTCCATGCTCATGGATTGGAAGAACAAATATTGTGAAGATGTCAATGCTACCTAGAGCAATCTACACATTTAATGCCATCCCTATCAAAATACCATCCACTTTTTTCAAAGAAATGGAAAAAATAATCCTAAAATTTGTATGGAACCAGAAAAGACCCCGCATAGCCAGAGGAATGTTGAAAAAGAAAAGCAAAGCTGGTGGCATCACAATTCCGGACTTCAAGCTCTATTACAAAGCTGTACTCATCAAGACAGTATGGTACTGGCACAAAAACAGACACACAGATCAATGGAACAGAAGAGAGAGCCCAGAAATGGACCCTCAATTCTGTGGTCAACTAATCTTCAACAAAGCAGGAAAGAATGTCCAGTGGAAAAAAGGCAGTCTCTTCAACAAATGGTGTTGGGAAAACTGGACAGCCACATGCAGAAGAGTGAAACTGGACCATTTCCTTACACCACACACAAAAATAGACTCCAAATGGCTGAAAGACCTCAATGTGAGACAGCAGTCCATCAACATCCTAAAGGAAAACACAGGCAGCAACCTCTTTGACCTCAGCCGAAGCAACTTCTTCCTAGAAACATCGCCAAAGGCAAGGGAAGCAAGGGCAAAAATGAACTATTGGGACTTCATCAAGATAAAAAGCTTTTGCACAGCAAAAGAAACAGTCGACAAAACCAAAAGACAACCGACAGAATGGGAGAAGATATTTGCAAATGACATACCAGATAAAGGACTAGTATCCAAAATCTATAAAGAAGTTATCAAACTCAACACCCAAAGAACAAATGATCCAATCAAGAAATGGGCAGAAGATATGAACAGACATTTTTCCAAAGAAGACATCCAAATGGCCAACAGACACATGAAAAAGTGCTCAACATTGCTCAGCATCAGGGAAATCCAAATCAAAACCTCAATGAGATACCACCTCACACCAGTCAGAATGGCTACAATTAACAAGTCAGGAAATGACAGATGTTGGCGGGGATGTGGAGAAAGGGGAACCCTCCTACATTGTTGGTGGGAATGCAAGCTGGTGCAGCCACACTGGAAAACAGTATGGAGGTTCCTCAAAAAATTGAAAATAGAGCTACCCTATGATGCAGCAATTGCACTACTGGGTATTTACCCCAAAGATACAAATGTAGGGATCTGAAGGGGTAACGTGCACCCCGATGTTTATAGCAGCAATGTCCACAATAGCCAAACTATGGAAAGAGCCAAGATGTCCATCAAGAGATGAATGGATAAAGAAGATGTGGTATATATATACAATGGAATATTATGCAGCCATCAAAAGGAATGAAATCTTGCCATATGCAATGATGTGGATGGAACTGGAGGGGATTATGCTGAGCAAAATAAGTCAATCAGAGAAAGACATGTATCATATGATCTCACTGATATGAGGAATTCTTAATCTCAGGAAACAAACTGAGGGTTGCTAGAGTGGTGGGGGGGGAGGGATGGAGTGGCTGGGTGACAGACATTGGGGAGGGTATGTGCTATGCCAAACGCTGTGAATTGTGTAAAACTGTTGAATCACAGACCTGTACCTCTGAAACAAATCATACATTATATTTAAAATAAAAAAAAAAAAGCTAGCAGGAAGGGAAAAATGAAGGGGGGAAATCGGAGGGGAAACAAACCATGAGAGACTATGGACTCTGAGAAACTGAGGGTTCTAGAGGGGAGAGGGTGGGGGGATGGGTTAGCCTGGTGATGGGTATTGAGGAGGGCACGTTCTGCATGGAGCACTGGGTGTTACACGCAAACAATGAATCATGGAACACTACATCAAAAACTAATGATGTAATGTATGGTGATTAACATAATAAAATAAAAATAACAAAGTTAAAATATATATATATATCAACATGAGACTTTTTTGAAATCTTAATAAAATTGGCTTTACTTCAATGACAAATTTTTTATCTCCACTTTAGTAAATTATTTGGAATCTGCAGCTTGCTTACTTAGAAAAAAACATTTCAATCAAAATGTCATGTCCTTCTGAAAGTGTACACCACTCTAACAAAGCCCAACAATAATAGTAATAGTAAGGAGTCATGGCTAACATTTGTTGAATGCAGATTATTGCACTGGTACTGGTCTAAATACATCAACTCTGTTCATCTTGTATCCATCCTGTGAGGTTAAGTCTTGTTACTATCTCTCTTTTATGGAGACAGAGCCTGATGTTTAGAAAGTTTAATGCTAGCCTAGGTCACAAAACTACTGTCAGGGCCAAGATTTTAACTTAGGCGGTTTGTCTTTTTTTAAGTTCTAACCCAATATGGGGCTTGAACTCACAATCCCAAGACCAAGAGTCACATACTCCACCGACTGAGCCAGCCAGCTACCCCAACAGTGCCGATATTCTGAACCTCCATGCTCCAATGGCATCAACCTTTACTCTTCCCTCTAGAGCAAAGTTCAGCAGAAAACCCACTGTCTTTCTGCAGTAATAGACACAGTGGGACGAACTCTCCTAAACATGACTCCCCAAGATCAAACAAAGGGCAAAATTATGGTCAATCTGTTTCTATGAAACACATACTCAACCAGTACCAATCTGTGGGGGGATTTTTCTTCCCGACGTACTCTTATTTTATTAATGGTTTAAGAAAAATTTCTCTAGAAAGTATTAAGAGCAAAGTGATCCATTATGTTTGCATCCCCTGAAACAACTATGCAAACGTTTTACTTCTTACCTCCTCTATCCTGCTTTTAGCTCCTTGTTTTATCTTCTCTGGTCCTGTAGAATTTGACAGATTATCTCTGTAGAACTCAATGTGGCCATGTGTGCAATTATTTTGTTAAGTACACGTGCCCACGCCCACACCCATCTGTTCCTGTTCTTACCCAATAAGAGCTACTAGAATCCTAGAGGCCAGCCGGCATCATGCCCTTTTGCCTCCCACAAGGGCACAGCAGGTGTGGGCTGACCACCACCAAAGGCTGACTCTCTGCAGCATGTCTTAATGGCCAAGAAACTGACCCCCTTCATGACCCTTCCTCTTTTACTATAAGCCTTCAGAAATCACTAGACGTCACTCTTTCCAAGAATACTGGGATAAAAATGCAAACTCCTCCTGCTTTTAAGTGACAAAGCAACTGTTTTATTTTCTCTGTGTGACTAATTAGACATGTGACTGGCAACTAGACCTTTAGAAAATGTTTCAATCCTGACTTTTAGCCAAATATTTATGTATAAAACATACAGTTACACACACACACACACACACACACACATCCATTCCTTCCAGAGCAATTTATGCACCTCATTTCCAAACACATTTAATTGAACCTGTTGCTTCAAATGAAATTTCTACTTAACTGGTAAATGTGTGTGAATTATTAACTAGTGCTCTTTGAGAATAGAACCTTAAAAAGATGAAAAAAAAAAAAAAAACTCTTGCTATAGTTGGAAGATTTGAGAAATGACTATGTTTTCCTATGACAACTGTACAATAGACTCCTTTCCTCCATTTTTTTTTCCTCTCCTCCAGTTTCATGGTCCACATTCACGTGCCATGGGCAGGCTGGCCCGGATGGCCATTCAGGAGGAGGGCCCTGTTTCAATGGAAAGATATTCCAACGGGCTCTGCAGAGCAAGCACTGGCCGGGCTTCCCTCAGAAGTACGGGACAAAACATGCTGACCTTCCTTAAATATCCACACCCTACTATGCCCTTTTAAAACAGGCTGCCATGTAACTACTTAAAGCAGTGAAACCTCTTTTCCAAAATCTAAAAGATGTCAACCACAGCTGAGACTCATATGCCCCGATTCCCAAGGCAAAACCCTTATCTCCCCAGCATCAAACCTGTGCCCTCCACTCCAATTTTTTTTCATTGTGAACAGCACGTTTGGGTGCCAGGTCAACGTGAATACCAGTTTCTGCATTATCTCAGGCCCACTCCAGAGTACCAGGTGGAAAACTGAGGTTTAACCTGCACCCACTGGTTACCTCAGAGCTAGAAAAGAGAGCTGGAAGATGTATCACAGGGGTCTGGCTTACCCTGAGGCAAGGCAAGGCCATCTCAGGTGAGTCTCTGGGAATACACAACCTTAATGATACCAAGGCAGGCCATCTGCATTTATCTAGAACCTAACCTTTAGGGGTGCACAGCTGACCATAGAAATCTCCAGAAACGCTGGTGTATCAACTTAGTCATCTTTGGGACACTCTTCTTTCCTTCCTATTGGTGACCCATCAGCCTGGATGCTTACTGAAAGGCTTGAAGTATGGTCAAATAACAGAGAAGATAGTCCATGTGAGAACAACAGTCTGAAGACAGATGTTTACTATATCAGGTCAATAGACTAGATGCTAGCTTAACCTGGGAAATATGGTCACATGTACCTTCACAATACAAGTGGTTAAGAGGGAGCAAAGGTTCCAAAATACCCTAATAATTGCTCAAGGAAAGGAAAGGTAAAGAGGCACTCAAATATTGGTTCTTATCTTAATGGTAGTTTTGCTTCAACCTACATGATACCAAAGGGCTAGCTTCCATAGCCACAGATGGGGAAAGTTAAGGAATTTAATTTTTTAAATAGCACCCAAAAAATGATGCTGATAAAACCCTGGAGAAAAAGGAGCTTGTGTTTTAGGACAGTGATGTAGCTGCTCATCCATTAGTAGGAAGCGAACATCCATTTCTAACACGCAGAATCTTGTTTTCTGACTGAGGTAAGTGCTGGGTCTCCTGTATCAAGCACCCCTTTCCTCCAATGACCCACCACCTCTTCCGTCAACTTCCATTCCCTCCAGGGCTTCCTGTGACTACCAGCCAACAGACCAGCCAAAGAATAATCCAGAATTCAACAAACAACCTCTTCAAAGGTCCGCCTTTGAGGAAGTAAAATCCAGATTTCTTTCAGCCTACTTATGTCATTATTTGCCCCCCCACCTCCCTTCACCTCTTCACACCATCATTATTATCAAGTAGGTTATTACTACATGGCACTCTTTGTCTCAGGCAATAATAACAATTCGTAACATCTATTCCCTCATTACTCTATGCCAGCCAGTCTACTGAACATACACCTATGTATGTGTGAATATATTATCTAATTAAACAATTCTAAGAGATAGGTCTTACCATTTCCTCTTTTTCCAGTTCTAAGGCTAGCCAAACAGGTCTAGAATTTGAATCAGGTCTGACTCCAGAGCCCTAAGTAAACCGAGCCCACCTTTATTTTTAGCTTATCTCTTGATGCAATTCACTGCTATCAGCATCAGCACTGACATAACATCCTTCACGTGTGACATTTACTGTCGGCGATTCCTCACATTGTCTTTCGGGGACTCACAAGCATATGAAAGACTTAAATTTTTTTTTTTTTTAAAGATTTTATTTATTTATTCATGAGAGACAGAGAGAGAGAGAGAGAGGCAGAGGGAGAAGCAGGCTCCCAAGGAGCAGGGAGCCCGATGTGGGACTCGATCCCAGGACCCTGGGATCATGACCTGAGCCGAAGGCAGACGCTTAACCATCTGAGCCACCCAGGCGCCCAAGACTTAAATTTTTTTTAACTGGGGCTAATGAAACTGTTGATGAAATTAACCTCAGTGCTCCCATGGTTTAGGCACCAAGCACATTAGGCCAGGCATGCCCCAACACATTCTAACCCATTTCTGGGGTGTGGGTCCATCCATGACTCCTCTCGGCCCTGATCCAAAGGACAGTCTTATAATTCTATCCATGTGGAAGTTTCACCACAGGGACTGGCAAGAGACCCATCCAACCTGGATACTTTCATATAGTCATGGAACAAGTGTATTTATGATCTCAAATAAGGCCTAAACATCTGTGTACACATTAAAGCAGTTAACACACACCCGCATACTAAGAATGTCCAGTTGTCCCACCCTCTTGCTTAATTCTGAGTTACCAGTCACCTTAACTGATAGTCCAGCTGTCATCCCCCATCCCCCAAATGATCCTGTTGAAAAGTTTATGATGGTAAAGCTATAGGGTTGGTGGTGGAGGGAGAATGCCAATAAGAGGAGAGATATGCAGGAAAGCAGTGACAACTGTTGTTGTCCCTTAATGAAGAAGCAGTCTAGGAGAAGAGAAAAGATGACAGAGGTCCAGGTCAGTCAGCATTAAATAACTGCACCACTACAGTCCATTCCTTGAACACCCAGACCCTCCCTGCAATTCCCGCTTGTCAGCCAAGCTGTGCCCTTCAGCATGAGAAGCACAAATATAAAGCAGTTAGGGCCAAAGAAACACTTTGAGGATTAAGTCTGTGGTTCAACAAGGGAAGGGCAGAGCCCAAGTGAAATCCTGAGGACTTCTTTCAGCACTTCTCCAACAGTGCGCTGACAGTCACGGGCCAAGTTGGCTTTAAAGGCAGGTCGCAGACTCCCACCCCTCCTGGATGCTGATCCAGTCATTCTGAGGTGGGATCCAGGGGTCTGCACCTCAGTGGGCCCCAGGTGATCTGAGCAGGTGGCTCTGGCCACACTTGGCCACACGCCAACTTGAGTCATCCCTGCCCAGCAGCTGGGGAAGCACTTCTAGAGAAAGAGCTGGAAGAGGGTTCGAGTCCTTACTGTGTTGCTCAGAAACTATCAGACCTGGGGCAAGTCCTTTCACCTCTCTGGATCTTTTGCATTTTCTAATAAATGAGGAGATGGGAAATGATCTCTCAGGGTCTCTTCTAGCCCTGGAATACTGTGACTGTGGGAAGTGCTTTAGATAGTAAAGGAGGTAGTACAATACATGCATGCTTCATGAACTCTCAAAGTTAGCACCTCTGGTATACTTATTTATGGGTCTAAGTATGGGAAGTAAGGTAGAACTGGATTTGGAAGTATCACGTGATAGTACTTCACGGAACGAACTATATACTCTGCCATGGCCCCGCTTGTGGGCAGAAGCAAGCATCCCTTGCGTGGTAGGTCAGAGGCGCTGGCTGCCACACAGAAGGGTATCAGCAGTGCCCCACATGGCAGGGAGGTCCGTGCCCTTGGGCTCCTCAGAGCAGCTTGCTCTCATGCACACTTGCTCCAACTCAAGGGACTCCCTTCTGTAGGAAAGGCTCCTGAAAGTTCTTTCCAGTGAAAAGAACTTTCATCCAAACACCAGGACATGACTGTAGTCTTATTTCTACTTCAGATATGGGTTTGGGGACGGGGAGCAGGGGTACAATTATGTCACAGAGAATGAAGGAAAATGTCTTATGTTTCAGCATGAGCATAATAACACAAAGAGCTTTTCCCCCCAAGAAGTAAAACGCTTGTTCACTACTCTCTGAAATCACAGCTTGTTTGTTCAGTAAATAAAGCGTCTGAATTAATAGGGGATTTAAAGAAGCTAGAGGGGAAAGGCCTTGCCCTAAAATCAGATCCATGGTTAGTGCCAACTCTCAGTGAGAAGCTGAATTGACATTCTCCTTCTCTCTTTAATTACTAAGGGAGGGGGCGCCAGCAGCAGACACGGAGGGGACTGTCAATGAGGTTCGGAGGTACCCTGGAGGACAATGAATGACAGCAAGGAAGACAGGTTTAGCAACCGCTGCCTGGCTCTTCCCTTATTTCCTTCCAAGACAACCAAATAAATTAAATTACAAACCCATGAATCCTATAAAAAAAAAATAAAGTCAACAGAACTCTGCCTCAATTTAGTGTAGCTTTCCAGGATGAGAAAAGTCAGGAAACAGTAAGTGGAATGTGACCCAGGCTCACAAAAGTGTACCCCAGCCTTTCCCCAGCTCACTCTTCCAAGCACTACCATTTTCAAGATACACCAGAGGCCCAATGCAAACAATTAAAACTGGTTCCCTGTTCAGGATGTAAGGTTATCCTTTCTTCCTCAAGGTGTCCATCACCAGTCTTCACCAAAGGGGGAGTGAGGACCTAATTTTTACCCATGCAGTTCATAAACTTAAGCATCATAGAAAAATAATAACTAATATCACGTGTAACATAAAGGAAAAAGTCTGCATTGAGCTTAGTGATTCCAAATCCAGACTTTGGAGGATGATGAATTCTACCATCAGCCCAATAATGTTAGTTAAGGGGAGAGGCAAGTGATGGTTCTGCACAGAGCTGGCCCAAGTAGCTGCTGCATGATTATCTGGAAGGTGTATATGCTCAGCAGTGCAGGATTACTTGTCTCCCCAACCTTGGAAAGCCTAGAACCTTACCAAAAAGCCTAGAGTTTCCACCTTTTTGGAACAGCTGGGATGGTGTAACTATGGATGTTTTCAAACCGCAGGTTTGCTTTAGGACAATCAAGTTCATCAAATTTAAGCAGTGATGAAGAAAGATAGGTAAGAGGTCATGGCAACAGGAAAGAGAAAGTCTCACCAAGCCTCCTCATCGATGTGGTCTACATATAAAGAAGAGAAGCTGGTTAGAAGCTCAGGTAGGAACCCAGAGATGGCCAGTGCTCACAAAGAAGCTGCCCCGAGCCCACACCTGCCACCATGAACTCTTCGAGAACAGCGCTCCTGAAGTATCTTACTGAATGCAAGTTTCTCTCAATTTCTACCAGAAACCAAGCAGCTGTGCCAACTTGGGACACATCCAGTTGATCACTACGTCTGGACACGTCTATCTCCTAAATAGGATTTACATCTGACCCCTCCTCACCCACCCCCCTCACTGCAGCTTCAATCTCTTCCCTCACCTCTTTCCTGAACAATCACTAACTCCAGTCTGCCTCATGTCACATCCTTTTCCTCTGTCTCCACTGCCACAGTCATCTTTCTAAAACCTAATTTGACCCTGGCAATTAGCAGCTTCACATTTTTCAGCACTCCCCATTCCCACAGAAGACGGTTCTCAAACCCTGACAGGCTTCATCATCAGATGTGCCTGGTCCTACCCCGCAAAGAATCTGACCTGAGGGGAAGGCAGAGGAAATGGGTCCAGGAAGCTCCATTTTCAACTAGGTCATCAGGTGACTCTGACAGAACGACACCGCAAGAAACCTGACCTGAAGTTCAAACTGTAGCCTTTCCATTCACATCCCCTGGCCCACGCCCCTCCCTCCCCCTTCAAACCTCTGCAGCTGTATTCTCAACTCTCCCCTTCCCCCAAATGTGCCTGCCTAACTTCCATTCACCTTTCCAGATGGCATCAAGCATCCCTTCCAGAGGAACGTCTCCCTAGACACACACCCCACTCCTCCGGGCACCCCAAGCTCCCTTCGCTAAAGTAACAGACCACATTTCCTTCCCATCTCTTCTACTGGCCTCAAGGCTGCAGCTAACACTTCTTTTTTAATCACCACTGCCGCTCTGACACATAGTAGGCTCTTAATAAATGTTGCTGACCATATTTTGAATAAACAAACAAATGCAGAAGCTTTAAGTAAATCCAAACTGGGGAGCTGGCTGGGTTTACCCTCAGACATTCTTTCATTATCCCAGAACAATATGTGAAAAGAGAGGCTAGAGATGGAGAGGAGGAGTGCCAAAGGAGGGAAATTCACCCGGGGATCAGTAGACTTTACGATGCAACCTCTGGTGATTGCATGTTTCCAGCCGTTGTAACTGGTGGGATCCTTTACAAGGCTGTAATTTTCAAATCATGCTGCAAGCTAACTACTTTTATGCTAATCTCTCTCAATAACTACAACTGCGGAAGATGACACAGGCACTTGGTGGCATTGTAAAAGCCGAAAACCTAGAAAATACCACTTCTTCAACTTTTAATTTCCATTCTGAGTATCTGTGCCAAAACTCTCCTCAGCTGCAAAAATGGTTGGAGGAGGCACTCGCCACACGCCCATTGAGGAACATGGCAATCAGTGCGGCCTACAAAGTATACAAACCCCTAAAAGCCGCTCCTCCACTAAATGACCTTCAAAAAGGAGATGTTTTATGAACAAACTCTTTAGCTCAATTCCCAATACTGGATGATGAACCGATATGTAATTTTCTTGACAGAACTATTATTTTGCTCCTTGTTTATATTTTTTAAAGTATGAAAGAGACTTCTCTAGGTGTCTGCACGTTAAACTCCATTAGCAATTACCTTTAGAATTTACTTCATCAACCAGGCAATGCTAACATACTGACACCATGAGGATAAGAAGTTGAAAGGAAAACACCTTACATGTGAAAAACACAAGCTTCTTGAGGAGCTGCCTCGTGGGTTATGGCAGCCTGGCACCAATTAAGAAAAAAACTTCCCTCTCAGTAAGTGCTGTGATTGGTTTATGATCCCAGCTTTTCAATTCAAATATTTATCGTCTCATGTTGCTCTTTATGAAGACCTTCCCTTCCCAGCTTTATGAAATTACTATTCCCAGGTCTGAAATGATTCTGAGTCTTTCACTAACCTCATTTGGATATCAAAATTGTTTCACAGCCTTGGGAATAAAGAGCTTCGGGGAACTTCAACTGTCAGAGAACCCTAAGACCTGTGGGAAGAAGGTGGGCAAATATATGGGCAAAACGCTTTCATTTCCCCAAGAGGCTAGTTGGTCACAATTAGTGGTCACAAGTGACGTCCAAGCTGTAGCCAGCTCTTGGTGTTAGAAACCTCCCTCTCTGCAACTGACATGCACTGGTTTCAGCTCTGTCCTGTGTGGTACCCCTCCTTCCACACACCTGCCTCTATTTGGAGACAGCAACATCATCTCCCAGGTTTGGAGAGTAACCACTCATTCCTTTAAGTGCCCCCCACATGCCACGCTTTAACCTCTGCCTGTATTCTGGTAACTCTGTGCCCAAATTAGCATTCTTGTGTGTGGCAAGAATCAATGAATACTTCTATGGCATCGGATCCACAAAGAACAGGGAAAAATCTCTCCCTTGTGAAAAACCTTTATTTCCATGAACACACTTTAAGATGGCCTTAGGAGTTTTCTTAAAAAATAAAAAATAAAAATAAAAAATAAATAAAAACATCCAACCTATTGACTCATATAGTGCCTCCATTCAGCTAAAATGTTAAAGACATTTTTACATGTGATGTTGTGAAGTGCTGACTACTTTATTCGTCACATACATATGCAGCTGGTTTTCTGAACATCAGAACAAGATGTAATATTTATTCCCTATTAAATTTCACCCTGTTAGATTCAGCTCTGTGTTCCAATGCACTCACCATCCCTTCCTGCTTGCCTCCAACAGCAGATGTGATGAACATCCCCTGATGTTCTGGACCAAGTCATGAAGAAGCAGCCCAGAGTCTCCCCTCTTGAGATGCCTCAAAGCATCACTCCCAATACCCAACACTCTCAGAGAGGAGATACGCAATCACTTAGGACTTATACCTGAGACTTTTCTGGAAAGCATTCAGTGAAGGCCTTTCTAAAATTCAGAACAACAATTTTTGTAACACCATAACTGAGGAATTTCTTCAAAAAGTAGGTTCATCTGCTATGGCTAGCTCAGCGCTAACACGCTGGTCTCCAGGGGCAAGCTCCTTCCTTCCCTATGACTACTGTAGCAAACATTTGTCCTCCTGTTGGCTCTCCCATTTCTGAGCAGTTTTCCTACAATAGAGGGTTCTGCAGAGAGAGAAACCTGGCAGGGATGTGCGAACCACACCTTCTTCTAAGGAAGGGAAAAAGAATGCTAAATATAGGCAAAGTCTCGGGGAAGGAGCAAGATGGCAAAGGGGTAGGAGACCTAAATTTCGTCTGGTCCAAGGAATTCAGCTAGATAGGGATCAAACCATTCTGAACACCTACGAACTAAACAGGAGATCAAAGGAAATAGCAGCAGCAACTCTCTGAACAGAAAAGCGACCACTTTCTGGAAGGACAAAATGACAAAATGGAAAAAATCACCTCAAAAAAAAGAACAAGAGGCAGTACGGACTGCCAGGGACCTAATCAATATGGACATTAGTAAGATGTCAGAACAAGAGTTCAGAATGGTGATTTTAAAGATACTAGCTGGGCCTGAAAAAAGCATGGAAGATATTAGAAAAACCCTTTCTGGAGAAATAAAAGAACTAAAATTTAACCAAGTTGAAATCAAAAAGGCTATTAATGAGGTGCAATCAAAAATGGAGGCTCTAACTGCTAGGATAAATGAGGCAGAAAAGAGAATTAGTGATATAGGAGACCAAATGATGGAAAATAAAGACGCAGAGAAAGAGAGAGATGAACAACTACTGGATCACGAGGGCAGAATTCAAGAGATAAGTGATACCAAAAAACGAAACAATATTAGAAAAATTGGGATCCCAGAAGAAGGAGAGGGAGGGGCAGAAGGTATATTGGAGCAAATTATAGCACAGAACTTCCCTAATTTGAGGAGGGAAAAAGGCATCAAAATCCAGGGGGCAGAGAACCCCCCTCAAAATCAATAAGAGTAGGTCAACATCCCGACATCTACTAGTAAAACTTACAAATATCAGAAACAAAGAGAAAATCCTGAAAGCAGCTCGGGAGAAGAGGTCTGTAACCTGCAATGGTAGAAACATTAGATTGACAACAGACCTATCCACAGAGACCTAGCAGGCCAGAAAGGATGGCATTCTATATTCAGAGCACTAAATGAGAAAAATATGCAGCCCTGAATACTATATGCAGCTAGGCTGTCATTGAAAATAGAAGCAGAGATAAAAAGCTTCCAGGACAAACAAAAATTAAAGGAATTTGCAAACACGAAACCAGCCCTACAAAAAATAATGAAAGGGGTCCTCTAAGCAAAGAGACAGCCTAAAAGTAACACAGACCAGAAAGGAACACAGACAATATACAGTAACAGTCACCTTACAGGCAATACAATGGCACTAAATTCATTATCTTTCAATAGTTACCCTGAATGTAAATGGGCTAAATGCCCCAATCAAAAGACACAGGCTATCAGACTGGATAAAAAACAAGACCCATCGATATGCTGTCTGCAAGAGACTCATTTCAGACCCAAAGACACTTCTAGATTGAAAGTGAGGGGGTGGAAAACCATTTACCACGCTAATGCACACCAAAAGAAAGCTGGGGTGGCAATCCTTATATCAGACAAATTAGATTTTAAACCAAAGACTGTAATAAGAGATGAGGAAGGACACTATATCCTACTTAAAGGGTCTATCCAACAAGAAGATCTAACAATTGTAAATATCAATGCCCCTAACATGGGAGCAGCCAATTATACAAGCCAATTAATAACAAAAGCAAAGAAACACATTGACTACAATACAATAATAGTGGGGGACTTTAACACCCCCTCACTGAAATGGACAGATCATCTAAGCAAAAGATCAACAAGGAAATAAAAACTTTAAATGACACACTGGACCAAAGGGACTTCACACATATATTCAGAACATTCCATCCCAAAGCAACAGAATACACATTCTCTCTAGTGCCCATGGAACATTCTCCAGAATAGATCACATCCTAGGTCACGAATCAGGTCTCAACCGGTACCAAAAGATTGGGATCATTCCCTGAATATTTTCAGACCACAATGCTTTGAAACTAGAACTCAATCACAAGAGAAAAGTTGGAAAGAACTCAAATACATGGAGGCTAAAGAGCATCCTACTAAAGAATGAATGGGTCAACCAGGAAATTAAAGAAGAATTTTAAAAATTCATGGAAACAAATGAAAATGAAAACACAACTGTTCAAAATCTTTGGGATGCAGCAAAGGCGGTCCTAAGAGGAAAGTATATAACAATACAAGCTTTTCTCAAGAAACAAGAAAGGTCTCAAATACACAACCTAACCCTACACCTGAAGGAGCTGGAGAAAGATCAGCAAATAAAGCCTAAACCCAGCAGGAGAAGAGAAATCATAAAGATCAGAGCAGAAATCAGTGAAATAGAAACCAAAAGAACAGTAGACAGATCAAGGAAACCAGGATCTGGTTCTTCGAAAGAATTAATATTGATAAACCCCTGGCCAGACTTATCAAAACGAAAAGAGAAAGGACCCAAATAAATAAAATCATGAATAAAAGAGGAGAGATCACAACCAACACCAAAGAAACACAAACAATTATAAGAACATATTATGAGCAACTCTATGCCAGAATTTAGATAATCTGGAAGAAATGGAGGCATTCC